ATACCCGTACACGCTGCCAGGACATTTTTCAACCATGTATCAGGAAAAAGCCAACCTATTAAATAGGTACTTTGCGTCGGTCTTTCATCAGTCCCATGGGACGCCCATGCCCGCTACAGGGCCGGGAAGTCCGGGTGAGGGTGATCCCCTGCCCTCCATTAATGCTGACTTTGTGAAGGAACATCTTGAGAAGCTGGATACCTTCAAGTCAGCTAAACTGTTAGAGCCGTGAAAGGGTGCTGCAGGGTGCCATGCAGTATGACCACTTTTGGGTATACAAACACCTACACATGAGTTGCAAGATAAACCCAGAGATTTCAAAAGCATTTTGACTTCTGTCTTTCCAAGTCTGCAACACAAAAATTGATCTATTTTTCTGTACTCAAAAAATGAGCGAATGGTAGGACATGGCATTTTCTGAGGGTACCTTGAATCTAACAAGGGGTGCTTCAAATCTAGCAAGTTTGAGAACCACAGCACTGCCGCAGGAGAGGTCTACAGTAACCCAGGTGCACCCAAGGATGTGCTCCCTTCTCCAGATAGAAAGGATGGGTTGCCAGGCAGGACTGCTGTGAGAGGGATCTGCAATATTGCTCAGATCCCTCTATTCTCTGTAGAGTCAGGTCAGGACAAAAATGACTTAACTATGTACAAATGTATTAATATTTTTACATTATATAAAATATTTACAAACCCAAAAACAAAAAATATCTAATGTTAATAAATATATACAGTTTACAAGTGATGCTATATTCTATAATTAGTGACTAAGAACTTATACCACCACCAGGGGTCTCGAACACTGCACAGATAATCAACCGATCTGCAGCAGGTAAACACAGGTAAGTCCAAATAACCCACAGGTAAAGACAGGTAAACAATAAATACTAGCAAACCACAGGTAGGGTATCAAAAGGGGATCCAACAATAATAAGCCTATATACATACACAACAGTTAAACAACAAGTCACATTAGAGGGTCATCATTGACCACAAGATGAACATGAGCCTGCAATGTGATGCGGCGGCTAGTAAAGCGACCAAAACGCTGGCTTGCATCCATAGATGCTTCTCAAGCAAATCCCGGGACGTCATTCTCCCCCTGTACTCGGCCTTAGTGAGGCCGCAGCTGGAGTACTGTGTCCAGTTTTGGGCTCCACAATTCAAAAAGGATGTGGAGAAGCTTGAGAGAGTCCAGAGAAGAGCCACGCGCATGATCAGAGGTCAGGGAAACAGACCCTACGATGACAGGCTGAGAGCCCTGGGGCTCTTTAGCCTGAAAAAGCGCAGGCTCAGGGGTGATCTGATGGCCACCTACAAGTTTATCAGGGGTGACCACCAGTATTTGGGGGAACGTTTGTTCACCAGAGCGCCCCAAGGGATGACGAGGTCGAATGGTCACAAACTACTTCAAGATCGTTTCAGGCTGGACATAAGGAAGAATTTCTTTACTGTCCGAGCCCCCAAGGTCTGGAACAGCCTGCCGCCGGAGGTGGTTCAAGCGCCTACATTGAACACCTTCAAGAGCAAACTGGATGCTTATCATGCTGGGATCCTATGACCCCAGCTGACTTCCTGCCCTTTGGGCAGGGGGCTGGACTCGATGATCTTCCAAGGTCCCTTCCAGCCCTGATGTCTATGAAATCTATGAAATCTGGTTACACTAGTGTACCTCTTAGTTAGACAGCATAATGTGATTCAGGATGCCATGTGATGGACGTTTCTGTGCCCCCTGCAATGCTACTTCCCCTGGCTAATTCCTCCCACTTGTTCCTTGCACCTTGTTCCCAGTTTAGTGTTTTCCAACTAGAGCTCCTCACCAGTGGGTCCTGCTCTGCCCATCTGCTGGATCCTCCCAGCATCAGGTCTTTTCTTTCCATGCAGGTATTTACAGACCATAAGCATATCACACAGAGCCAAGCTCTTCAATAAGCTTTTGCAGGTAAGCTTTTCACACTTAGGTCCTGCTGTTCTCTTTGACCTTTTGATTACCCCTACTTCCCCCATCAACCCTTTTTTTTTTTAAAGACGCATGACCTGGCCACAGAGTCCCTGACTTGGCCAGAGGCTGCCAGTGGGGGGGAATGCCGTCTCCTGCTGCCAGCCCTGCTCCCTGCCCCTACATCCAGAGGCTATCTGCCCTCACCACTGAGACATGAGACTGTTTCTCCCTGTGTGACACAACATGGGTCTGAGCTGCAGGTGAGGCAGCTCCAATAGAGTTGATGCACATGCTGAACTGGAGCTGGTGCAACTCAGGGATGGTTCCTCCTCTACTGGAATAGCCACACCTTGGTCTTAAAGCTCAGTGGGGAAGCCTGGACTACAGCATGGAGTGACACCCCTCCTGCTCCCACTTCCCTGGGCAAGAAACCACGTTGAGGGTCTCGGGGCTTTCGGGAGTGGCTGCGGCTGCTACCGGGAGCAGCTGCAGTGATCAGCCAGCACTTGCTCCCAGAAGTGGCTCCAGCCACTCCTTGGAAGCAGTTGCAAGCACAGCGATTGGCCGTCATGGGATCACCTGCAAGGGATCCCACCCTCCCCAGTCCGCAGGCTCATCCCCAGTCGGCGGGATCACCTGTGGGGGACCCTCTCCCCTAGTGAGTGGGACTGGTTGCAGGGGAGGGCACCAGTCGCCCATGCAGGCAAGTGTCATGGCTCCAGCCAGTGATTTGCATCTGCACGTTGCCCCCCCCTGCTCCGCACCTGGCCCCCTTCCCTGCCATTCGGCTGGTGTGCTGCAAGATGGGAGATCTGCTAAGTGTGCCGCTGGAACCAAAAGGTTGGGAAATGCTGGGCTAGAGCATCTTCCTCTTCCATTCCCTGCTTCTTCTTCTTGGTGGCACCCAGGCTTGCTCAGTCGACATACTCAGCATTAAGGTGCCTTAAGGCGTCTATACATCCCGTAAGGTGCCTCAACTATCCACACCTAAATTTGATATCTGCTTTATGCAGGATGGTTGCCACGTGGGGCTGGGAGGATAGTCTACCCCCCTCACTTTCTGTGCCGCGTGTCAGAGGGTTTTAAGCTTCCCACAGAGGCACCAAGGCCAGGGAAAGCACTGCTCCTGGAAAGGGCTGCTTCAGCATAGAGCTAATAGTCTTACTACAGTTCTTGCCAATATAGTGTGGTACTGAAACGAGCAGGTGAGAATGGTTCCTGGCCCCTTTCTTCAGCTGGGGACTTTGAGACCACCCAGATCCTGGACAAAAACAGTTGAAACGTCATCCCTACATCATCAGGCCATGCCGGACGGTGGTAGTAGGAACCCATGTACTCAAACAACCCTTTGTTCATTCAGCAATGCCTTTCCAGCCCTCAAGGTTTCCCATGGAATCAGGACATCATGTGGCTCTAATACACAGACAATATCCCATCCCCTGCAGCCTTGAACTAGGGACCTGATGTTTTTTTTTTTCCCCAGAGCCTACCTGCCTCTCCCAGGCTGGGTGCTAGCAGACGGGTGCTACCTCGGGGGTGCCACTGCCATGGGGGGAAGGTCAGGGGGTCCCCCACAGCTCAAGGGCCACTTGGCCCACTGGGAGCTAGCCCCCCTGGAGAAGGAGGTCCAGCAGACATTGCCATTCAGCATTCCCCCAGCTTGACTGGCTTCTAGATGCTAACTTTTCTCCCCCATAGCGCTGGTAACCAGTGCTGAACACAAGATAAGCTGGGAGGAGTTGTTTGGGGGCAGCAACATTCCTCCAGCCCTCTAGGTGTGGAGACCAGTTGTCAGTCACAATCAGTTATTTCACCAGGTTTTGTCCTGGTGGGCAGTTGAGCCAGACAAGGAAGTAGTGCCAGGATCTGTCTAGTAGTAGTAGTAGCATGCTTAAATTTAATAGCCATAGTGGTAGCACTAATAATAGCAATGGTTGTAGAAATAATATTTTTGTTACTACTACTGCTATTGCTATAATAATAAAAGAAATAACAGCAATACCCAGAGTAGAGGCAACATTAGTATTCCTATTAGCACAATTGCTATTATAACAGAGAGAGCCATATCAATAATATCATTGCTACTGTTCTTGGCCTTACTGCTAGCACTGCTATTATCACTGAAGCAGTAATTATAGCAATAAGATTATTATTTCTATTTATATTATTATGATAAATAACAACACCACCAATCATAACAGTAGGTCTGATAGCACCAGTCATGACTGCTACTACCCTTATGTAGAGCCCTATCCAGAAAGGCTTAGCCCAGCTCAGTGCTGACACTCCCAATGCATCAGAGGAAGGTTTAAGAACAGGAAACCCCCTGATACATGTAGCAGAAGGCGGGGGGGAGGGGGGGTTGAGGGTGGGATTCCCGCCTAGCTCTATGTGGCAACCAGCAAAGCTCAGAAGCCTGGGAAAGACCCCTAGCAGAACACAGGCATAGCTACATCCAGTTCACCCCCAACTAGTGGCTGTTTGAACTCATGATGCCACAAACCCCACACCCAGATGTCTCTTTCAGGAAACCTTTAGAGGTGTTGCTTCCCAAACGAGATTCAGCTCTGGAAACCCAAGTGCAGTGATGCTGAGGTCCATGGAGAATGTGGAGGGTGTCTGGCAATGGACAAGAGGCAGAAAACTTCCCTGGACCAGAAGGAGAAATGGGACATAGGAATCTAGTGTTCTCTCACACTCACATGGTGTACCCGGTCAGATGAGCAGGAGCTGAGGGTTGTGCCCTCAAACCAAGCAGATACCCCAGTTTGCTTTTCCAGCTGGTCGAGCACCCCAGAGTGACCCGTGTCTCTGCTCTCACAAAAGGCTATTTGGGAGGGGTAGTGGGGAGGTGGTGGTGCCAAAGGTGGGGCAGAATCCCAGGGTGTTACACCCAGGATGTCTCTGTTGCTTTTCCAGCTGGTCGAGCACCCCAGAGTGACCCGTGTCTCTGCTCTCACAAAAGGCTATTTGGGAGGGGTAGTGGGGAGGTGGTGGTGCCAAAGGTGGGGCAGAATCCCAGGGTGTTACACCCAGGATGTCTCTGGGGCTCTGCATTTTATCTGGAGAAGAACAAGAGAAGCCACAGCAAGTTTCTCTGCATGAGATACAGTATACAGAGACACTAGCAATCAGGTAAAATTTCCCAGAAGACAACACACTGCATCTCACTGAGAGGATGTCCTCATACCCTCTGTGCCCTTCCACAGGAGGCAGGACCTGTCACAGCCTGCACCTCCTGTGGCAGGGTCCTGGCTGCACAGCAGTAAATGGGAGTGAGGCCTCAAATGTGACTAACTCTGGTGTCTTGAGAATTTGCAACAAACCCTGAACAGTGGTGAACCCTTGGCAAAGGGAAGAGGCTGGCAACTCAAAGAAAGATCTACCCTAAAAAGGGTTCTGGACTCTTCTCAGTCCCCCTTAGTTCAGGAGAGGGCACAGAGCCCAGCCACAGGGATACCATGTTCAGTACTTCAGCTTTCTCAGCAGAAACTGCATTACAGAGAGTGCAGTGAAGGGCAAGAGGGCAGGGGAGTAAAATGCACCCAAGGATGCATCCTTCTGGAAGGAGGCTGAGAAGCAAAACCTTCCAGGCTAGTGGGAGAACATGGCAAAGCCCTCCTCACACAAAGCAACAATATGGCTTCTAGCCTGTGTGCACGCGCTGGTGGTAGGCCAGGCTGAAAGAGCGGGTAAAGCTCTTCCCACACTCCGAGCACTGATGTGGCTTCTCCCCTGTATGGATGCGCTGGTGG